GCTATAGCACAAAGTTCCTCACCCTTTTTTTTTCAGTCACAGCACCCTTTAAAAGTATGCAAACTCTTGAGGCACCCCATTCTACAATGTCATAGATTTTAAAGGAGGACAAATAAGACTACACAAAAAAGTGGGTTTCCCCCTTCACATCGAAGTGCTCCTTCTAATCTAGATCCCCCCCCCCCTTTACATCACAGAATAGTCTCAACAGGTCACCGGCACACACACAGATAAATTCAATATCTCTTGGATATGAGACTATTCTGAGCTTTGCACGGCGCCATCCGTGTGATCACCAGAGCACCACCACCGAAACACCCTTTACATCAGTCTTTATTACCCCCTTAACATCACAGTCACCCCTTCACCTCAGTCTTTACCCCTTCACATCACCGCCCCACTACCGCAACATTTTGAGGCACCCCTGAGGAGGCCAGAAGGCAATCCAGGGTTGAGAAGAAGCCGGTGGCACCCTGGTTGAGAAATACTGCGTTAGCATTCAGATAGTCAGACCAGCCAATCTAGGAATCAGTGGCACAATCCAAAAATGCGGGCTCCATAGAAAAAAAGCAAAATCCGCCAAAAAAAGGGTCCGGTAGAAGCGACTTGCGACCGCGACGAGCGGCATGGAGTTAAGACAGCTCCATTGAATTGCATTGGCCGGCGACTTCTCGCGATATCGCACGGCAAAAATGCGCGATATCGCGGCGGAAATCGCCCGATAATTCGCTACATGTGAACGGGGCCTCAAGCAGGAAGCCAACTGACTTTTTAGGACGATGAACCATCTCTCCAGAAAAATAATGGATCGTTTCCTTTTCTATGAGAGAAGAAACAGATTTAGCATCTTTAGGCCAGTCACAGGGATCACTGCAAGAAAGGTCACAACCTTACCCATGAGATATTTCTATCACAGGCAGGAATACAAATTGGGACAGTGAAGACATTTCAAGTCCAGGCTGGACAGATTCCAGGAGCCAGTCAGCCAATAAAAAAAGTACAGCCGGAGCCCAACGTTGGAGGTTTTTCTTAGGGATGCACCGATGCCATTTTTCCCAGAGTACAAGTACTGATACTTTTCCTCAAGTACTCGCCGATACCAATTACTGATTCTTTATTTTTAGTGTCATGTGACAGTTTTTCTACAATACAGACTAATGATTTCAGGACAGTGGTGGAGCGCCAGGGCCAGGTACCAGCTGCAACCCTGGTAGCTGTGTTACTGACTCCAAGCTTTAGAGGACTACAAATGTCAGCAATACATTATACAGCAATCCAGAATAATACCATCAGCTATAGAGGACTACAAATCCCAGCAATCAGATAACACTCTACCATGGCTGTGTTGAGGAGTAATGATCTGCAGATGTCAGAAGTGCAGGAGCGGAACTGCTGTACCCCCACCCCACTTTCTGAATTTTACCTTCCTGGCGCATCCTGGAGTCAGTTCCGGAGTCTCAGGATGGGGAAGATGTGCCGCCGCTGGCACTGTAAGCCGGCGCTGCGAGATCACCAGCAAGTGCTGGACCTTATGGCAGCCGAATGTATTTCAAAATGTAAAGGGCCGGTATGAACTTTCAGTATTGGGGATTTTCACGAGTACTTTTCAAAATGCCCAGTATCAGGACATCCCTAATTGTTCTAGTTGTTGTTACAGAGCTGGCTCCTAAACAATCCATCTGGCTCCTGGATTGGCTCCTGAATGCCATGATAATCTTGTCCCTGGTTTAAGCTTATGTCAAGGCAAAATAAAAAACCAACAGTACAATTCTACAATGCATGCTCATATCCCTGCGATTCCTCAGTTTGAAGGCCCAGCAAGTACAGAACAATACCTGTTATTCTGCCAAACTTCCAACTCCTAAGTCCTGTTGTGAACTGGCATCACAGCATTTGTGTGGACTATTGTGGTGACAGCCCTGCCCATTGGCTTTTGCTAAACTACCCAACTACTCCCACTCTCAGATCCCTAGAACATAAAGGCCAATTAGTCTGTAGTCCATAATAAGTACTAGGAGGGCCCATCAAGATAACACAGGAAGAGTGGAGATGACACAGGACAGCTTTGAATTTCTGACAATAACCCCAATTTTTGGGGTTTGATTTGCACTTACCATACAGATATAACACAACACCACCTCCAATGATATATTAAAGTACTCGGGGCACAAATGTTCTTGCAGTGGAGCTACCCCTAACACTGAAGGGTTAAGTGCTTGTTTTCCTCTGGGGACAAAAATTACAAAGTTATACTCACCCGAACCTCAGAGCCAGCTGGCTGCTACGCTGGTCCTTGCAGCCTCGCTCCCCCTCCACTATAGTGATTGAATGTCCCTTGGCATCTTCACATCCTATATGCTGTAATGGTCGTGATGACTCGCAGGACCTTAGTCTGCTGGGGCGGATGGGGAGAGAGTTTCCAGGGATCAGTCTAACAGCCGGCCGTCTCCGAGGTTCAGGTGAGTAGAACCGTTGTATTTTCCTCCCTAGATAAAAATGGGCACTTAACCCTTGCAGTGCAAGAGAAAACCGAGGAACCAGCCGGTTAGATTACAGCAGATCTAATCAAAGGCTGACAAATATTGTACACTTGTCTTGAATTGTACCTGTAATGTCTTCCTTATATTGTAAAGCGCTGCGCAAACTGTTGGCGCTATATAAATACTATATAATAATAATAATAATAATAATACACCAGACAACACCTGATGAGGTCTGGGTAGGTTTGGACAGTAACTATTCATTTAATGGGTCAGCCCATTTAGAACCAACATGTCTGCATTTGCTAGATGTCTGAGAGTTATGTCACCAGAGTCTCCTGAGGACGCCAAGATAGCAACATTATTAGTGGACCTATTATTAGGTATATTACGTGTGAAGTAATGAGTCAGTGGAGTCAGTACTTCCAGGTACTTATTACCTCTCACAGAGATCACAGTCCTCACCCAGACAATGCCTTCATCTGATTTTCTCTCCAGAAGGCATAAGTCATCTATGTCCATCATTCAGGATCACCATCTACTTCCAGGACAGAGATCCTGGCTCAGACAGGACACAATCACATAAATCCTGCTGCCTGTGCAGGTCTTTGTGTTCTCAAATATCTGACACAGATCAGCCTCTGCTGCAGCCTCCCACCTTGTGGTTTGCTACAAACTTACAATGTTGCAATCTGATCACTGGGGAGGAGAGACTAAGGAAATTCTTCCACCTGCCTGCAGTAAACTGATGACATCATTCCAGCCTAGGCAAAGTCCCTACCCGACATTTAAGGACTGCTTCTTAAAGCAAAAAGGGGGGAAATGTACTTTATATTTAAAAAATGGAAATGTCCTGAAAGAGAATGATATTATTGCTGTAAACAGTAAGCCCACATTGAAGGGCAAGTGTACCCCTTGGGCAGAGGCTGGGGCCAATGTATGCTCAACCTACTCAATACAGACCTTTATGGGGTCTAGGGGGGCGCACCAGTGGCTGAGAGTGCAAAAGAACCTTATCAGATAAAGCAACATGTTATCTTTTAGCTCCCAGGTCTGCAGACACAAATGGAGGATCCGATGATTGTTTCAGACTTTTTCATATGAAGGTTGAACCCCAGGCTGCAGCAGGAAGAGCGAGTCGACTTTAAAAGGCAAGTGTACCCCTTTGTTCAAGCTTCGGCCAACACATTGCACTCTGCGGGCCCTTAGGCTGCTTTCACATGGGCTGATCAGGAGGGGATCCGTGCACACATCCCCTCCTGATCAGGACGGTACGGGTCTAGCAATGGAGGAAAATACTGACATGACTGGACCCCATGTTGGTCTATGGGGACTCAGATGTAAGCAGACATATGCTCCGTTTATATCAGATTACCTCCGATCCGGTAAAATGGGAGAATGTTCTGTTTGTTTTTCCGAACCTGGCCGGAATCGGGGGTAACCAGGTGTAAATGAACGCCCGCCTACACCCGACTGCCCACAGACTAGCATTGGTCAACCGATCGTGTACACCTAAAAAACTGCCAGGCGGACCTGATCGGACCACACGTGTGAAAGGGGACTTATGGATTAGTATCGGTGGGTGGGCTTCCAAGAGAACCTGTCACCACCCTGATTGGACAAGGCAACTTTCTTCTTCAGCTCCCAGATCTGCAGACATGACCAGAACATTTTTCATTTCATATTATGGCGGAACCACCAGGCTGCAGCAGGAAGAGTGAGACTCCATGTTCTGCGGCAGCAGATCTGAGAACATTAACGATCGCACCATTGGTGTCCTGTAAGAATTAGGCGGGTGACTCAGCCCACTACCTGAGCCTGTTACCTGTCAGCTTGTGATTTACGACAAAGGTACAATGTTGTAGTCTGATCAATGGGGGGGGACTGAGGAAATACTTCCTCCTGCCTGCAGCAGAGTGATAGCAATCTCAAGACAGGTCACCTGGCTGGACTAAGGACGATTGGTTAGCCTCTTCCTGCTGGCATAACGCATACATGCAGCAGCAGGGCCGGTGTGCCTAGACACCAGGCTTCTACGTATATGCGTCAATGGTGGCTCCGCTGTTGTGTGCAGAGCGCAATGACGGACTTGTCACAGACACATCACGGTACCTGTAAACAACTGGGAGACAATCACAGCAGTTATATGATCGGGACGCCATTTCCCAGTATTAGTTCCCAGTGAAAAGGCCAGGCAAGGGGTTAAAAAAAAGATGGAGCCCTGCGTTACAGATAAAAGGTGGGGGGGTTCTTCTGGATGGTGCCTCATAACTGAAATATCACTTTGGGTGGACTGACCCTGTAAAGAGAACCGGTCACCTTTGGGGGGTCAGTGCGCAATCCTGCCACAGCATTATAATACTGGTGTGCTGCTGCTGCTATGGACATAGATTATCACTGCCTACTTTTATTATCAGACAGGAGACAGGTTCTCTTTTTTCAGTATTATTGATACATATTATAGTATGTGTATGAAGAGGACGACAATGTGACATCTCCAACTGACCCCCTTCCGCTCACCTGTGTCCCCACCACCACGATCTGAGGTAACTGGATGACATCTGACCCCACCGTGTTGAAGACGTCCTGCAGCTTGTTGATGACAGGGATGAGCGCCTCCATGTCTGAGACCTGAGCCGGGGGATGAATGGAGGGACACAGTGGGGCGGCCACCGCTCACAGCCGCCGGCTATTCCGCTCAGCAACCATTCAACCGACCCAGAGAGCTCTGCGGTAGGGAGGCGCGGCGCGGGCACAGAAAAGCCGGAGTGCGCATGCGCATGAGCAGCGCGCGGTGCTTGCCGGGCCTCGTAGTCTCAGTGGGTGAGGCTGAGCGCGCGGGGCCATCTTGGATATGGGCAAACTACTTCACAGAAAACAGTAATGTCTTTGATTTCGTTATTTATGGTGGCCTGGCATCACTTTTAGCTTTACTAATAATATCTATCGCTAGGAAAATGTTAAAGTGGAGAAAACTATGCGTGTTGGTTTTGGCAGTTAAAGAAAAGACAACGATGTTAATGTGTTTTTATTTGCGGACTGGATGTATGTACGTGCGGAAGAGAGTGTGGTGGTTTGAATTTGATGTTTGTTTTTTTTGCCCACAACAAATATGGCCGGCGATGACAGCCCAGTGACCGGAAATGCGACATGTCACAAATTTAGATCAGGAAGTGCCAATTTCAAAGGTCCCTGACAGTGACATTGGGAGATAAGAGCATGCTGCAAGCTCAATGCAACCCTGCACGCATCACAGACTGTGTGTATTGAATGGGAATTACTGTCATTATGGGAGAGTCATGGCTGCTTAATTTTTTGCTGTAACTTTTTCTTTTAGCTTTAGTTTTCAAGGACTAAAGCTGCTCTGCTCTGTTTTACTCTGCTGCTTGCTGGTGACTCCTGATGAACCATCTGCAGACCATAAGGCACTGCTCTCTTGCCATGTTCATTAGACTAGACCAGGGAAAGTGAAATAAAATTCAAGGAGGTCCGGTGACCAAAATTTCCTTTGAGCCGATCTGGACAGAACCGCCACTCAGTCCGTGTCTGCACCACTGCCCACCATTTAGGCTGCATTCACACCAGCAGCTGCAAAGCAAAGCCACTGGTGTGTTTCCCCAGACACAGTGCTGATGCATCAGCACTGTGTCGCGGTATACTGAGCTTAGGGTGACGGGAGGACGCCAGTTTGTGAAAAGTGACGGGAGGACGCCAGTTTGCCCCCCCCTTACGCCAGTTGTCCCCATCAGAGTGCCCCCCCCTTGCGCCAGTTGTCCCCATCAGAGTGCCCCCCCCCTTACGCCAGTTGTCCCCATCAGAGGGCCCCCCCTTACGTCAGTTGTCCCCATCAGAGTGCCCTCCTTACGTCAGTTGTCCCCATCAGAGTGCCCTCCTTACGTCAGTTGTCCCCATCAGAGTGCCCTCCTTACGTCGGTTGTCCCCATCAGAGTGCCCTCCTTACGTCAGTTGTCCCCATCAGAGTGCCCTAAAATTAATAAATAAACTTTGTGCCACGATATGAATACAACGTCAATCACATCATCCAATGGCAAAGAGCTTTTTGAAAATGTTAATTGTTTTTGCATATTTGACATGTCAGGGATAGTGATGTGCAGGGGCGTGGTGCGAACCCAGGTCACCCAAGCCTGCGCAAAGCTATTACTGACACCCCCCTCCCAACCCAGTCCGCTGCAGCTGGGGCAATCCCCGCCCCGCAGCTACATGTCACAAACGGGCAGGGAATTCCCTGGCACAATAGACTGGGCCAGGAGGGGGTGTGCCAGTGACAGTTTTGGGCAGCTTGGTTCGCACATCACTAGTCAGGAATTTATTCATGCAGACTTGTGAATTTACTGACGTATCCACATTAACGTGAAGGTGATCAGTGTTCAATATCGGGAACATTTCCACGGATGAACCTATACCTGGGGCTGCCTGGAAACCATGTTTCATAACTGGTGGTCCTGTGCTTGCTCTTTGCTATGTTAGAGAAGTGGCCCTGCACACAACACACGTGTTGCCATCTCTTGAACATGTGACTATCACAGCTGCACAATTAAAGAAGGCTCTCGTCTGTTTTCTAAATATGGAACCAATGTAGGTGCTGATTAACTGGTGCACGCCCCAGACGATCGGCTATAAATAAATAAGACAAGTGTACACCCAAAATGACACTTCAGTTGTTCTACAGCCCACGTGTGCAATCACCGAGTCATATTTGGAAAGGCAAAGCCATTGGACTGGCATTCTGGCAACAGACCTGATAATCATTTTTAATTCAGTCATTTTGTTTTTATTAGTCTCATATAG